AGGAAACAGCTCTCGTGTTTTTCAGTCTAAATGGACCTAAAACGTAAGGTAGCACGGTCGTGTGCAAACACGTAACGGGAGCAACATGAACCATTTCCTGGTTTTAGGTAAGATCTTGAGGAGGGAAGGCTTTTAAGCACATAACTGTGGTTTGTAAGCAACTTATGTTGCCTTCCCAATATTATTATGAACGATTAAACTGGCTGTGCAGAACTAATGGACTATTTTGTTATATTTTTATTTTGTTTAGTTTGTCTGTATTGTTGAGTGCTGGCACTGGGAGAAGAATGGTCCCAGCTCTTAAAAGGGTAATGGTCTGAAGCAATTTTAAATATTGAACCAAGGTAAGCAAGAAAACCTGGATGGCACAGAAAAATTTATTTATTCTATTACTTCTGGGTTGATGCCATCAATCAGTTTCAATAATACTTACATATGGATGCAGAGAGAAAGGCAAGAGTGGTCTCCCAACTGGAGATTTCTTATTTGCTTAACTCACTTTAACAACTAGCCTAAATAAAGTGACCAGGAAATCAAATTGTGATTTCATGTGGCAAAGATGCATTAGCACCTGTTCCAAAAAGCACTGGTCTTTTTGTTTGTTTGTTTGTCTGTTTGTTTGTTTTAAGGAAATATGTTTTTATGTAGCCAGCTGCCAAAAGAAGAAATGCTTTGTTGTATGAAGAAATGCAGTTTTGCTATATTTGTACAGAAATCATCATCAAAGTTACTATGGTGACTTGAAAATTAGGATTTAAGAACTATTACTGTAAGGATTGCATTCAGTTGGTACTTGGGTTGTTTTAAATGAGGCTTTAATAAAATCTGTTGTAATTGCTTCAGTTAAAGAAGGGTAGTACCAACTGGGAGATTTCCTACTGCTGGACCTGAACACTCTGAGGATGGATGGATTGGTATTGTGGAACACAAATTATTGTGGAACACAGAATTATTCAAAAATAGTTAAACCTGACACCTAAAGTAGATGTTTTGACAGCCAAAGTCACAGATTTTTGTCACCTGGAAGGCTTTGTCAATGAGTTTTGTATCAAAACTGTTTAACTTTAGTTTGCTTTCTGGATGATTAATTCAGTAGCACTGGCAAAATATTTGCATACTTTCACCTACTACAGATAAAGACAAAGGAATTCTAGATGTCAAATGAAACCTAACTAAAGTTTTTTCTAAATTGTGGAAAGCAAATTTTCAGTTGGGGCCAAGATTTTTCTTCACATTTTAAAATAATGTATATTTCACATTTTTAGAATCTTGGGAAGATAACTGTGTTTTAAAAATGAAAACATACATTTAATCTGTGTTTCATGTGAACACAAAAGGAGAAGCAGCCTTTTCAAAATGTATAAAGTTTATTCAAGAACTCAGTTTTCAGTTAATTCTTGCAATTTCCTTTTGCATAAAGCTATATAAAGATAGGCAAATGTCAGTACTAAAGGACTGTGAAATGCAAAAAAGAGGCTTGTGTTTGGGCAGTCACCAATAAAGTTTTACCATTTTTATATTTTTACTTTTCCACTGTGTAACAATCCCAACCAGTTACAAGAACTGCTGTAAATAATTCTTTTCGAGGAAAAAAATATGTAAACAATACAGTTGGCTATACTGGGCAGTGTTTGTTTTTTTCCGTCTTCATTTGGGTAACACTTTTGAAAATAAACTAGAGAAGCATGTATTCTCACTTACCTGTGCCATAATTTTCCATTAATCTGTAACTATTTACTGAAGTTTTATTCAAGAAGAAACAATAATTCTGACGTATTAAAGAAAGATGGACAGACATCGACATAGAGGTATCGGAAATGATAATTTATGTTTATCTCCATACAGTATGAACTGTATGGAGATAAAAAATTCAAATTACAGCATCAGGAGTCATCACTGTGTAATCACTGTGGTACCTTTAGCATAAACTTTGTTTCTCCACTAATCACACCTAAAAGAAATATTCTGTTGACATGAAATTGCCCTGCACGCTTTAAAAAAAAACCTTGCACAACTTATATAATGTCAATTTTGTTGCATAATGAAAAGAAGAATGAAATTTGAAGAGGGACAATTTGGTGATTTTGGTGGTGGCAGAAGTGAGGATACAACAGACCTGTTTAGTCTTCTGTACTACTCAAAATCCACTTGTGAAGTGAGGGAAGTCCAAAAGGTTTCTCTCCACAAGAAAGGCAGCGCCTCCTGCAATGTCTGAGGGGCCGCAATACTTGGTAGTGTTACTAGCCAGGCAGCTGCACCCTGATTTTCCTATTTGTATAGCACAGCTTTGTGAAAGTGTTAAAACAGAGCAACTTCAATGTTAAGATGTTGCAGCAGAAGTAGATTCCAAGTACTCAGCAGTTTAGAGGTTAGGTTACTTTTGTGGTAATGGGGAGGCCTGGATTCAATCCCTTGCTCTGTATTAACTCACAAATCGCACTTGAAAATGTGCCTCCAAAACAAAAACTTCAAAAGCATAACTGAAAATTCTGTGTTTCCATTGACAACAGAATAGGCAGAGTGTAACTAACATACTTATTAACAGTATCTGGCTAACAGTCAGAGATTAGAATAGAATAGAATAGAATAGAATAGAACAGTACAGAACAGAATAGAACAGAATAGAATAGAATAGAATAGAATAGAATAGAATAGAATAGAATAGAATAGAATAGAATAGAATAATGAGTAGTTTGGTACCACATGGAACTGGGCATATGCACCTTGATGCCAGGAACATGGGTATGATGATGATTCAAATGCCTTTCAAACTAGATAGTGGCCAAAATCTCTAAGGACTGAATTCCTGGGTTTGCTGTTAAGACTACATCTAGACTGTAGACATTACAGCCCTCTAGGTTACTTGCAGCAGCAGTTTTTAGGTATATGGCACATGTAATGGAATTTGCTGTTCTTTATTTTAATAATTATACTTTCTATCCAATGGATAAGCTAAATCTGCTCATGATTTTGTTTGCAAAAGCTTGCACGTGGAGTTGGAACCACCTAAACTGACTTTAATGTAATACTGAAGGCAGGTCTGTATTAAAGTCTGCCTCATATGAAGGCTTGGTTGTAGAGAGATGTAGTTGACAGATACAGTTGTAGAGATAATCCTCTCTTTGGGGCCAACAGTTGTAGTCTCACTTGTGAAGGTAGATGTTTAGAAGCCCAGGAAAAGGGAATTTCAGAAATGGAAGATGTATGGCTTCCTAATTCTCTTAGGGAATACATTAGCAATGGAAGCACTCTCCAAGTAACGTGGGAGACCGTGATGTGCTTGCCTCCTTTGCCTGAAGGGACTCAAAAGCTCAGCTTAAGCAGATCTCTTAGTTTTTCTGCTGAAGCACTTCTAGTTGCTGAAGGCTCCAACCTACTAATAAGGGCATTAGACTAATTTGTACATTAGACTAACTTGCTAAATTACAAAGGCAGCCCTTGAGGCAGGGTCTACCCAGGGCTTTTACCACAATAACAGCAGATATTGTTAACTGGGGGCTCTTTACCAACACAGTCTTTTGTGGGTATCTGGGATCATAATTGAGTTTGGGGTTTATTTGCTTGTCCACCAGAGCTGAAGTAGCATGTTTGAAAACTAGCATAGTTTTAGTAATTCTTGTATTCTGATACTCCTGCTTTAAGGATGATGATCCTTTTCTCTGAAGGAGGGACATTCTGTGGTTTAATAACAATTATGGGTTAAAACCTTTCTGTAAATAGACACCAAGGCACTATGTGATGGCAGCTTCTACTGGGTAATAATGTCAAGCATATACAAAACAACATCTAAGCACTTAAAAACCCATGAGGTTTAAATAAGAGATTATTAAATACAAATCTTGCTACCCAGAGGTGTGCAAACAATTTATTTGTGTTCAGTGCAACACCATACAAGGGAATGGGTCTGCAGTTCTGTTTCTCTATAAGGTCAATAAATGGTTTGTCAGCTCTGGTGAGTATTTATGTTGTATCTAAAGTTCTAATGTAAAAAAATAATGCAGAGTAGTTTTACTCTCTGCATTTGTGAGGGATGCCCACTCTGACAGGATCAGAAATACCCTTCAACAGCTGCAGATGGAAATGAAATAGTCCTCTTAATTGAATCCCGTGGGCTGCAAGAAAGGATTTTTTTCCCCACCACCCAAACAGTTCCTTGTCTCAGACAATCTGGAGCCACATATTTTTTTTCATTTTACTAGTCCAGCTGGCAGAGCAAATTGCCTTGTTGAGTTAGCATGTCCTAAAATATAAAAGAGTTTAAATGAGTGTGATGGTACAGGCAGTACAACAAACTACTGCTATTATAAAATACACTAACATATTTCTCTGTTGTACAGTGAACAGATTTGAGACACAGGAAGGTGTAAATGGCTCCTGGAGCGTTTTGTTGATAGTGATTTTTATATGAATCTCAGTAATAAGCAAATCAGCATATATGTTGCCAAATTAAAATACAAAGCTAGTAGCAAATTAACATATTTTACACAGAACTTATACAAATACCACATTTTTCATACCTTGTGTTATTGCAAGAACAAAATTGCATAGACCATTTGCTGGCACTTCCTGAATTCCCCAAATGACACTTTGTCTTAGCAAATAGTTCAAGTAGTTCCCTCAATTTCACCCACTAATGCAGCGTTTACATGTAGTGAGAGAAAAAACCCACAGAGCTCAGAAATATTAACAATGACATAATCATCTGACTGAGTAATAGTTCAGCAAGGAAACGTATTCCTTTTATTTTTTTATGCTCTCTGTAAGGCTGTTTTTAAAGTGTTACTGACAGAACATATAATTTGATTCAAATCACTCTTCTGAAGCTGAAATGTCATTTGTGCTCTTCTTCCCCTTTCACCCTGTAGTCCAGAATTGTAGATAAAGGTTTGCTTCCTAAAGTACTTTTTATTAAAATTCTGAAAATTCCTCTTTCGGAAATGCTCTTTAGCAGTAATATAAAACTCAGAGTAGCACGGGAGCATGCGGCCTTTTCTGGTGCCTCACTGGCAGACACGGCTGTATTCTTGGCAAGTGGAGCCCACGCCGGCCACTGACAGGTAGAGCTTTCCATCTGGACACACGCAGATTTCATAGAGCCCCTGAGAAATACCAGATCCACCCCTTGTACCCTCAGGCAATTTGGGCAGTCGCACAGTTTCAGCATCGAGCAAAAGCTGCATGGGAGAAAGCAGGACAAATGGGCTCATTAAAGATAATAATGCAATAGTGGGCCATAAAATGACTTTGTCTTGACAGTGGTTTAAGAATAGCCTTCCACCCAGACCTGTTATACACAAAGATGCTCTGAGATATAGGCTCTTGGCAGACACTGGAACATGGGAGAAGGATAAGCTGGTGCCCATCTTCTTCCTGAGCAGAGACCTCAACAAGGTCAACCACAAGGTCCTGCACATGGGTGGGAACAATCCCAAGCACAAATACAGGCTGGGCAATGAGTGGACTGAGAGCAGTCCTGCAGAGAACTTTGGGGTGTTGGTGGATGAAAAACTGAGTAAGAGCCAGCAATGTGCGCTTGCAGCCTAGAAAGCCAACTGTATCACAGAATCTCAGAAAGGTCTAGAATGGAAAAGCCCACTAAGGTCATTGAGTCCAATCGTTAACCTAACACTGGCAAGTCCTCAACTAAATCACATCCTTAAACCCTATGCCTATGTGACTTTTAAATACCTCCAGGGATGGGGTCTCCAGCCCTGCCCTGCCCTCGGTAACCCGTTCCAATGCCTGATAACCCTTTCAGTAAACAAAATCTTCCCAAAATCCAACCTAAACTTCCCTTGGTGCAACTTGAGGCTATTTCTTCTTGTCCTGAAACTTACTGCCTGTGAGAAGAGGCCGACACCCACCTCACTACAGACTTCTTCAGGGTAGTTGTAGGAGTCACAAGGTCTCTCCTCAGCCTCCTTTTCTCTAGGCTAAACAACCCCAGTTCTCTCAGCCACTCCCTAAAAGACGTGTGCTCCAGACACTTCATCAGCTTCTCTGGACCTACGCTAGCACCCAAAACTGAACACAGTACTAGAGATGTGGCCTCACCAGTGTCGATGATAGTGGCAAAATCACTTCCCTACTCCTGCTCACTACATTATTTCTGACAGAGGCCAGGATGCCGTTGGCCTTCTTGGCCACCTGGGCACACTGCTGGCTCATGCTCAGCCGGCTGTCAACCAACACCCCCAGGTCCCTCTCTGCCTGCAGCTCTCCAGCCACTCCTCCCCAAGCCTGTAGCACTGCTGGGGGTTGTTGTGGCCAAAGTGCAAAACTCGGCATTTGGCCTTATTGAAACTCATACAATTATTGAAATAATAATATATTATTGAAACTCATACAATTGGTCTTGGCTCATCAATCTAGTCTGTCTAAATCCCTCTGCAGAGCATAAGAAGTAGGCTGCTGCATGTTGTGTGCTCTTGCTGATGGGGCAGCTCTTAATCATGTCTGCCGAGTTTCACTCTTTAATTTAGCCACTCAGGGCTGAGTGTCAACCTCTGGGCTAAGGGCCTTGCTGGGGTAATTTTATTCGAAAGCATTTATTTAAGCTAATACAATATTATGTCAATTGGTAGCATTATTTAATCTGACCCATAAATAAAAATCTGATTATTGTCATCATTAGTTTTAGTATCCTGTCTCTTAAAATCTGAAGAATTAAATTAACAGAACTTGAAAAAAGACTTGAAGTTATTAGTTACATTCAGACAGCAAGATCAACCATAGTTATGGAAACAGAAGGGCTTGTACTCACCACACCATCACTGCTGTGTAGTTTGATATCCATCTGGGAAAGAGCTTCAATATTCCCAGCTTGTGCTTTGATATTAATTCCTCGTGGTGCATCCATGCTCAAAGATCGAGTTGGTGATTCCAGCCTGAAAGCAGGAGCAGGAAATCGGACAGTAGCATATTCTCATATGTTCCTTTATTTTTGAAAAATAAGTAAACTCTGAACAAGTACTTGAAAGATCTCGCCTGAGGTCATGTAAATGATGCAGCTTCTTTTTTCTTTAGGCAGACTTGAGAAAGGAGGTTGCTATTTAAAAACACCAAAGTATCCCAAATAAAAAATACAGATGAAATCATAGTACAAACGCAAGATATTATTTCAGAGATAACTTCAGAAATATTATTTCAGAGATAATTTCAGATTATTTCGGTATAATGGTAATTTAGTCTTTAAAACCAAACTCCATTTTTACATTCTTTAGCTTGAATTTATTTTCATTTTTTACATAATAAGATATTGAAATTAATACAGTTAGTGCAGTCTGGAAGCTTTTTAATCAACCCAAGTTTTGACACTGCTATCAGTAACAAAAAGCCTTCACTCTGTGTGTTTGCGTTAACAAGATGGCATCTGAAACTTAAAAATCAGTAACTTTGAAATAAAATTTATGCAGTATAACCGAAAGTTGCAAACCCTACAGCACCACAAGATGGCAGGAAGGTACTGTATAGCTTCATAATCACCTCCTCAGGTCAGCTGTGGAGGATTAATGATTTTTATTTTCCAAAGAGATAAGGCTCTGTTTCTTCAGAATTTTGGTATCAGTTCCACGATAAGTATCATGAGAAGGAAAGAAAAAGCCCAAGCTCAGCAACAAGCAGGTGATTACATTGCTTCTTTTGACCATTACCTAGAACTGCTCCCTCTGCCGGTGCTGGGAAGACTGCAAAGATCAGAGTTGATACCTACTGAGTTTTGTTGCTGAATATTGGCTCACCCTTCCTGATGACACCAAGCTGATATTTACACTATCGGCCAGCATTAAGCAGGTGAATATTAAGGCTAGAGAAAAGGAATCAGCTGGAGGTCCTAGTTTACTTTACATCATGTTACGTGTTCTGTTCTGTAGGCTCCCTGGACACATACAAAATAACGTGGGTTTCATCCATAATGTGGAACTCAGCCATGTGTCCCTGTTTCCAGGTTGGCATGTGCTCACCCACTGAGTCTCCTGGAAATTTTAGAGGTAAATGTGTGTATGCACGCACGTGTATGCACACGCACTCCCAGCAGACGCTGTGCTGGCTCCATATGTGCTCAACAGTTGCCCATCTGGACGAGTGGAAGACTGTGCCCCAGCAGGTCCTTTACTAGGTATGAGTCAGATAGCGAGTCTAGATGCCGATCTCATGATGAAGGAACGAAACGATTGTACACATAACCCTGATGTAGCTATCTGAGGGGTTTCATTTACACAGACTGCTTCGGTTCTTCCTTGTTTTGCAGTTACTTCATTAAAACTGCAATTTAAAATATGTCAGTTTAGGCTTATGGGAAACTTCTTAGAATTCTGAAGAAGCTAAATCCAGCTGATATTTTTAAACCTAAACCACAGCGAAGCACAGTCACTAAAACTTCATTTGTTTATCCCCAAATCTAAAAATAACTCAGGCAATATTGGCTTACCACTGATGACCAGAAGTAGCAGAAGATTCTATCTCCTTTGATCTTCAAAGGTCCTTTCCAGCTCAAACCACTCTATGACTCTATGTTTCTATGATCTGCCTCTCCTTGACATTTCCTGGGTTAGTCACCTTCAACGTTTAAATAAAGACTGATAATTTAAACTCCTAACAAAGGACAACTGCATCATAGTTCCATATTGTAACTGTATTCATCAAACTATTTGATGCCTTATCCCTTGACTTTGAGATGGCACAAACTTCTGCCATGATCATGCTGAGTATAAGAGCATGAGTACGAGTTTGTTCTGCAACAAACATCTAATACAGTATTTGTAATCCTTATTAAGCAGTGTTTGTGATTTAACAACTTTTCTATGACTTTTTTTTAGATTTATACTTTCATGAAACGGGAAATCAGTTTTTCCCTGAGTGATTTACATGGGACATCTGTTTCCTGGGAATATTTTTGGAGGCACATTTGTATGCACTATATAATGAAAAATTAATCAAAGTTTGTATTTGCAATATTTAAAATGTAATATATTTTCATAAGGCAGTGTCAAAGTAGTGGAATGTAACTGTTGCCACATTTTGTTTTAGCAAAAAGCTACAGCTATTGAAACATTTTGTTTTTTGTGAAGCATTTCATCTATGTAAGTAATCTATACATACGCATAAATTTTTATTTTTATGCTCTACTGAGTATTACAAGAAAGCAGATTGGGACAGATTTTTGAAGAGAATATCAGACCTGGAGTTTGAAAAGCAATCAACTAGAGGAATATTTCTTATTTTCTACCAAAATTATTGCTGGCAAGAAGCCTACAGACTTCGGAAGCATTTACAGATTTATGATATGACTTACCCATAATTTAAATTACAAGGCAGAATTACATTTGCTATATTAATCACAGTCCTACACTTCTGCTGTTTATATGGGTCCTATTTCTAGATTAACTAAGGGTGGATTTACCTACTTAATTAAGCCATTGGAGCTTCCTGGCAATGGAAACTGCAGTGAAGATTAAACACTAGTTTTAAAGCCGCCTGGAACTATTATGTGTGAGACCTTAGCAAAGGCAACATTCAGTAACACTAATGTGTTTCTTCATACAGCATCCAAAGGTTCAGTGTCTCAAGTGCAGATGTACTAAAAGGGAAATGGGCACCTAACGTAGAAAAGACGTGAATAAGTTGAGCCTTGACTTTGAGCATCCCTTCTCAGTCTCCACTTGGTCCTGAACACACCTGACTTCCTCAGCCCCTTATACCTTAAAGTCACCTAAAATTCTGCAGTAGTCCCGACCCTCAGGCACTTCCAGTTTGTCCCTGGTGGACAGGATTGGACTCCTCCTGTATGCTTAAGGATCTGGTGACCACACAATTGCAATAGCAGAGGAACTGAGAGATGGAGATACTCATATGAACTCAGGGTGTCTTCAAAAGATATGAATAGACCACTGCAATTAGCAACATTGGTGGTGTTTTAAATAGACATTTATAAAGCAAACGGCTTTTTTTTTCTTTTTAATCACTGACCAGTGGATCTACTTAAAATAGATGATGGGAGGAAGTTGCTCTGCATTGCGCACGATTTGGTTCAGTCAGTCAGAAGAAACATGACTGTGCAGATAGAGGCTGATAAAAAAGTTTCAAGATCTATTCCCCAGGCGAATAAAAAGGAGGAAGAATGTAGGATGGGCTGAGGAAAACATTGATGTGCATGCCTCAAAAGTCTTGGCAAATCAAGAATTTGGTTTGCTTGCAAATGCTGGAGGGTGCTTAGAGACTGAGAGGACAGAAGTTTATTTTCTTAGGGTTTTTGGTCATTTCATAGTGTTTGTTTGAATTCAGGCAGTAGAATAATGAAAGAATATATTGTTACCAGTCACTATCTTTTTTTAAAAAAATTGCAGGCATATAAATTACATTTAACAGAATGGAATGAGGATCTTTATCATCTGAAGGAATTAATCTATGTAATGTGCTGTCCTAAATGAGACATCTGTCACAGCCTGTATCTCATTGGGGAAGATGAATTCTGTACTTACAAGTATCTTCTAGGTACTGTGGTTGCTGCCAGAAGTCTATTAGCAAGTGGTATGGTGCAAGAGGAATTGATTAGGACAGCACAACACTGGATGCCAAGAACCTGACACCCCCGTTATATGTGTCCTGAGGAATACTCTGGACTAGCTGTTGCCTGACCCTGAAGACTGGATGCCTAGAAAGGTTGGAGCACATTAGGTGATCTCCAGGACAGCATAGTTTTCAGGTTAATTTAATCCAACTGTCATCCTGTTCATGTACCCTAAACAGTTCCACAATGAGGACCAAGATGTGGGGTCTCCGGCAGTTGGGAGACTTCTCTCAAAAGGACATTCCTAATTTGAATTAAGACACTCATGTAGAGATCTCCATGGAATGTGAAGCAATGGGAACCATATCTAGGTCCACTTGCAGAGTAGGTCTTGTGCCTTGCTCTCTTTCACCCTGATCCCCGCAGCCACCTGGAGGTTTGTTGGCAAACCACAGGGTGAGGGGTTGGTGGTCCCTGCTAATATTTCATAGCTCGGTCATCTGCTGAATATTGGTCCTCCAGTAGTCCACTGCAACTGAACCAACCAATCACTTGTTGGTAGGACAGTTTCAGAAGTCGACTATACTGTCCTGGCTGTCTGCCGAGGAAATCTGGTACTGAGGTGTGCAGGATAATTCATGAAGGACTGTGTGAAAATCTTCTGAGGGAACCTGGAGAGCATCCAAGCTCTGGATCTAAAACCAACCCCCCAACCTAAAGTCTAGGAGATTCCCACCTCTTCCTATAAGCATGTTGCTAACTCATGGAGATACCAGAACACCAGAAATTGCTCAGTTGGCTCTTTAGGCAGGGGAAGCGACAGCCTGCTGTGGTTGTGCTAAAGAAGTAGCTGATACTGCCTGTTCATGCTGGAAGAATATCGATCTCTTCTTTCATCCTGTTATGGCAGGAGATGGAAGGATAAATACCACAATGCATTACAAAGCTGGTTTTAGGTACTGCAAAAAGAGTGCCATGGTCTTTTGGAGCCCACGTTTCCTACCGCAATATAGGGTTGCTTAACTCTTACAGCAGGACAGAGGAACTAGCTTGCTTTTCTGAATTTGGGTAGTAGTTTCTTCCTTCCTTCTGGCTACTTTTCGTCCTTTTCATCTCATGAGTCATCATGAATTCAGTGGGGACAGAATTCCTTGGTAGAACATTAGATGATAGCTCCCCACATGTACGCATTTGTCCCAGCAGCTACCTGAGGAACACCTGGATTAATGTAAGTGGCTGGACAGGTAGATGGACACTGCTTTTAAAACTGTGGTGCATCCAACAAGTGGTGTGCCCATACCTACATACAGCTAACTCCTTTTTTTTCTTTTTCCTTGCTTTTTGGTTAAAATAGTCTGATCAGTTTTACCATACAGAGAA